TCTCGAGATGAAAAATCGGTACAGACGCGCAGCGCACACACAGACACACACACACAAACACACACATACACAGACACACACACACAGACAGCCTCTCGTCAGTATGCGTTTTCCGCATTGCATAGCTGCAAAAAACGCATAAAAACTGACGATAAGACTCATTCAAAAACTCGTTCCTACAAAACAGAATTCACTCAATACACAACAACGAAAAGCAAAGATGAAAGACGAGACAACAAATGGAAAGATGATTCTTTATCAGAAAAACGAAAGAAATCGCTGTCAAATTCAATGCAGTTGTTCTTAGGTTGAACTGCATTTGAAATAGAGAATGGTTTCTGATCTGTTTTCAACCTATTGACGCTCCACTCTTCTATATTGAGCCCCTTTTAATCATCTTTTCTTCGTTTATTTTTACACTAAAAACACTTATTACCTATAATAGTTTGAAAACGAACACAGCTAGGTAATTCAAACAGAATTATCCAAATTTATGCGATCTAAAAGTCTAAAGTGTGTTTTATGGGGCAAAACGGCACTCATACTTTCAAATGGCACTCATATTTTCTAAAAATATTAGTACTGCCAAATTCATTGCACTATGCTTGACGTTGCTTACAAGTTAGGAAGCTCGAATGAAGGAAATGAGTAAGACTTACTCGAAGGTCGGGATCAGTCTGACGTCGCAGCAACGGTGCTAATGGGCCATCTGAAGTACACGTATTTATTGATTGTGCGTATATTTTAAAAATTACCATTCTGTCTTTGAAAATATTTGTCAAAGAAAAAAATTTTTAAAAGTTTTGGAAAAATCAAGGATAAAACATAGGTTCAAGAGATATATAAGAAATTCGTTACCTCTGCGAATTTCTTCATGCAGTGGGCTATTGGCCAGCAACGTGTTACCACTGATGTTCCTGTCAGTGAGTAAGCTGTTGGCATTGAGGAGCGAATTTCGCCGTATGTGATGCAGGAGCTCAGATGCGGTATTTGTGCGTTTCTTGTCAATTATGGAGTCCGGTCCAAGCTTTTCGTACAGCAAATAATTCAGATACTTGCGCGCCACCGAACCAAGTAAAATTTTAGATTCTGAAACAACAGTGCTTCAAGCAAACCAGTATGACTGGATTCCAGCGAATTTGGCATTCTTTTCTTCCTCACGTTACGAAAAAAACAGACGGCGATCAATCGGCAGGCTTCCGAGCCAGTAATGAACACACATAAGCAGATACAGTGAAAGCAAAGATCCAGCACGAATTAAGGAATATCAACACAAGTACTTCGCTATATCGATTCATCTCGATAACATCGAAAGCATTACAGTGATACCCAGAAGGAACTTAATGAAACTGCAGAAGATGAATGTATCGGATCTGTTTTGGTGACAAGTAACATTATTCGTAGAATTTACCGCTGATTCTGTGGGCTCAAAAAACAGTTCTACGATTCGTTGATTAACCTCAATGGTAAGCAGGTGTTGGCGCATAACAGCAAATTAAACCGCTAGCAGCTTGCTTTTATGCAGTCATCGAAATGGGGAGCCAACGACAGCCTTGCCAGTCAGAAGTTCGCGTTTGCAGAGGGCTATCATTCGCAAGGCATTTTGACTATCCTACAGAGTGATTTGTAGGAGGTATTTTAGCTTTTTCAAATCCAGAATATCACAAAGAACGTTTATTTTGTACATTTAAATAAAGTTAATTAAGCGTAACAAACAAACAGTAATGAGAGGACTGGAAAAGACAGAAGGACCACATAAGAAAACCCATCTTCATCACTGTTTTTTCTCCTATTTCTAACAGAAATCAAACTATATTCTTGTGAAGCACTTGTTTATTCAGATTTGGAGGAAGCAGTAAGCTAGGTTTTTTCATGTACATTACCAGCAAGTCAACTCCAGCTTTAGATATCTTAAAAGCCAAATCAACTATTCCCAAAACTACTAATG